TCATGGAACACTACATCAAAAACTAATGATGTAATGTATGGTGATTAACATAATAAAATAAAATTTAAAAAAACTCAATGGAATTTGAATATTCAAAAGAATGCTAGAATTTTGTAAAACGTGTATCTGGCAACAGTATCTTAACAATTTCTTGATACATAAAATCTTCTCTAAAGGTTTTGTTAGCAATACTAAAGAATGTTGGATTTTGATAGTATATAATGAAATGTGTTAACATTTAGAAGATCTGCAAAACTCAGTGAGTCAAGGTTTTTCAAATGAACAAATGGATGCCTTTCCAGAGTCATGCATATGCCCACCGGTGATGGGTCTCAAGGAGGGCATGTATTGCATGGAGCACTGGGTGTTATACCCAAAAAATGAATCATGGAACACTATATCAAAAACTGATGATGTACTGTACACTGACTAACATAACACAATAAAAAAATAAAGTGCAAGATAGACTAATGGTTTTAGCCATTCTGACAGGTGTAAAGTGCTTTCTCATTATGGTTTTGATTTACATTTCTCTGGTAACTAGTGACAGTGAGTATCTCTTCATGTCATCTGTCATCTGTATTTTTTTTTTTTTTGCGGGGGGAATGTCTATTCAGGTCCTCTGCCCCTTTTTAATTAGATTATTTTTTTGGTTTTGAGTTGAGTAAGTTCTTTATATATTTTGGATATTAATCCATTATCAGGTATGTCATTTGTAAATATTTTTCCCATTCAGTAAGTTGCCTTTTTGTTTTGCTGATAGTTTCCTTAGCTATGCAGAAGCTTTTTATTTTGATTTAGTCCCAATAGCTCAAATTTGCTTTCGTTTTCCTTGCAGGAGGAGGCATGTCTAGAAAAGTGTTTCTATGGCTTCTGTCAAAGAAATTACTGCTTATGTTTTCTCCTATGAATCTTATGGTCGAACCCTGAGAAATGTCTAGAATTGTTGAATTGTTATATTGCACACCTGAAACTAATATAATACTGTATGTTAATTATACATGAATAATAAAAAGACAGACCAATGGATCTCATGTATCAGTATGAGAAGTTCATTAATATGATTTCAGTTCCACATTGCAATTCACCTTTAAAAAACTACTACTTACAGAGTTCTAGTGTAGTATCAAAGAAGAATATCCACAATTATCTGAAAAGGGTATTAAAATACTTCTCCCTTTACAACTATATAATATAATTACGTGAGGCTGGATCTTTTCCATATACTTCAACCATAACAAATAGCAACAGTTTGAATGCTGTGAAAGCAGATAATGGGAATCCAGCTAGCTCATATAAAGCCAAACATTAAAAATATTTACAAATATGTATAAAAGGACCACTCTTCTCATAAAACTATTTTTGCTCTGGAAAATATAGTTTTTTCATTAAAATATTTTATGTGGGGCACCTGGATTGCTCAGTCAATAAGCGTCTGCTTCAGCTCAGGTCATGATCCCGGGGTCCTGGGATGGACCCCCGCATCAGGTTCCCTGCTCCGTGGGAAGCCTGCTTCTCCCTCTCCCACTCCCCCTGCTTGTGTTCCCTCTCTTGCTGTCTCTCTCTGTCAAATAAATAAAATCTTTAAAAATAAATAAATAAAATGTAATATTTTATGTGGACATAAAATGGATTTATTTTTAAGTGAATTATTTAAGAATGTCTATTTTAATTCCTAGCATGATAAAAATTGATAGATAACCCCATATAAACAAGAACTCTTTGGGATGTCAAGAAATTTTAAGATTGTAAAAAAGATCCTGAGATCAAAATGTTTGAGAACCTTTGGGCTGGATTTTGCTATTTTGACAAAGTAGCCCCCAAATCTCGGCCAGTTTACACAAAATGATCTCTCATTCACACTACAAGTCCATTGGTGTTGGCTGAGGGAATGTGCTCACTGTTTTCTCAGGAGACCAGGCTCACAGAGAATATATTTCATCAAGATTCTACACTCATAGGGCACCTAGGTGGCACAGTTAGTTGGGCATCAGACTCTTGGTTTCAGCTCCGATTGTCATCTCAGGGTCATGATCTCAGAGTCGGGGGATCAAGCACTCTTGGGCTCCATGCTCAGTGCTGAGTCTGCCTGGGATTCTCTCTCCCTCTCCCCTCAAATAAATAAATAAATAAATAAATAAATATTTAAAAAAATGCAACACTTCAATAACAAGAAAAATGGCAGGATGGCAAAATTTGCAAAGGCTTATAAACGTTACCTGGAAGTTACATATGCTACTTCCACTAACTAGTCATCTTTCTAAGAAAGCCACATGGTCACACCTAACTTCAAGCAGCAGTAACACTTAATTTTGCCATATACCCAAAAGAAAATCCAGAAATATTTAGTGAACAATACTAATGACTACCATGCATGCCAACTAATCCATACACTGAGTTATAAAGGATTATGAGAGTGCATCTTAGATAGCTCCAGAAGCTTATTAGCTTTTATTGCTGCTGAAACAAACTAACCACAAATATAGTGTCTTAAAGCAACACAGATGTATTTTCCTATGGATCTGGAGGTCAGACAGCCTAAAATCAGAGTGTGGACAGAGATGCATTCCTTCTGGAGTCTCTAGGGAACAATCAGTTTTTGCCTTTTTCAGCTTCTAGAAAATGTGAACTATAGCAATATTTATCCCTTAAATCAAAAGTAATTGAGCACCTGCTAGGTATGAGGCACTATTCTAAATGCTGGGGATGCTAGGCTGAACAAAAGTCAAAGTCCCAACTATTATAGGGCTTACATTCTAGTGGAAAAAAGAAATGAAGAGGTAGATAAACACACATATATACTAGGAGATTGATGTGTACAACGGGGAAAATTAAGGCAGGAAAAAGTAATTGAGAATGATATGAAAGGTGCTATTTTAGATAAGGTGGTCAGAAAAGGACTTTCTGATCAGACAGTGATTGAGTACATCCCTAGAGAAAGTGAAGGAACAAATCACAATACCTAGAGGCAGAACATTCAGGCATTAAAAATAGCAACAAAGAGTTCTTAATGTGAGAGGATGCTTGGTATGTCTGAGGGAGCAAGGAGGGCAGGGTGTCCCTAGAGAGGATGAGAGGAGATGAGGTCAGAGAGTGAGCTCAAGTGCCGTAATAATGCAGTGTCTTAAGGACTATGATAGGAACATAGCCCTCATTCTGAGATGGGCAGCCAAAGAACCATTTACTTATAGGAGTGTTATGATGCAGGTGACATTTTTCAGGGGTCACTGACTACTGTGGGGAGAATATAACCCTGGGACAAGCTTAAAAGCCAGAAGACTAGTCAGACGATCTTTGCAATAACATAGGATGGAGATGATGTTGATTTAGATGAGAACTGTAATGGTGAAGGTGGTGAGAATTGTCTGGATTCTGGATATAGTTTGAAAAAAGTCAACAGATATTCTGATGGATAAAATTATGTGGGTATGAAAGAGTCATTACCAAAGGAGTCATTACCAAGAGAAGTGGTCACTCTTTAAAACAAAAAGGAAAGGAAGGGAAAGGGGAGAGGGAAGGGGAGGGGGAAGCCAAAGGGGAGAAGAAGGGAGGGGAGGAGGGGAGGGGGGAGGGGGAGGGGTGGGGAGGGAAGGGGAAGAGGCCTTCATACAACTTCTCAGTTGAAAGATTTTTGTATCAGAATGAATAGATTTTTCTGGAAAACTAGTTCTGTGACTTAGGGAAGTCCTTGGATATCAGTCAGAAGAATGATAAATCTTATGTAAACAAAAAGGGCTTATCTACCATCGAAAACTTGAAAGAAAAAGATTTGAAATGGTGTTAGGCGAATCAGCCACATGGAGCTGCTTGAGCACATTTGTACAGTCTATGCGAAATAATTTCTCTTTTATGAGTCCCAGTTGATGATGTAGCTTTCAACATTATTACATCATGATTTACTATGACCTAATCCACACCTGAGTAAAATGGCACTGTCCTTCTCTGAACAGAATACAATTTCTCTTGAAGAGATTTTTTAACAAGCCTGTATGAAGGTCACATTTGCTGTCAATTGCACAGTCTCAGCCTAAGGGGAAAGGCCATGCCAAATAAAGCAAGACACTAGTCAGAGGTGGACTGTTCTTCCACAAAGGAGACAGAATTTGCTAGTGCCATCTACAAAGGCCAGTTCTCCCTTTCTTTGCAAAATACTGATATTAATGCATTGATTAAGCTGGATAGAACTAATAAGCATATATGCAATTCATCCATTTTTAATGCATGAGAACATTTTAAATAAATGATGTTTTGTTTTAATCTACTTTCGTTTCAACAGCCAGACATTGAATCCTGAGTCAGGCTGCACTGAGAACAGACCTCAGAAAATTGTGTTATAGATATCTCATTTTTATTTTCAGTTCATCACCAAGGTCCTTTTATTTTCTGATTATCATTAGGATATATCCACTTGTCCCTCTTACCACCATCACCATCCTGACACAAGCTAGAGTCATCTGGGGCCCAGGAGTAACAAGATCCCCCCACCTGACCTCCGCATGGGTCTTGCCCAGCTCCAAACCTTCTTCGCAGAGCAATTGGAATGATCCTTTTCAAAACTCAAACTACATATTATTCTTCAGCTTAAAAACTGTCAAAGGCCTCCTAGTTCACAGGTTAATGAAAAACCCCTGGAGACCTGCACATGACTGTAACTGGCCTCTCCATCCTCCTCAGCAGGAGGCCCTGCTTCCCTTACTGCTCTTGGTGCTGCCCTTCTCAGGACTCGCCCTGCTTCCCACCATTCCAGCGTCTTTGCACAGGCTGTGCCCCTTGCCAGGACACAACTTATACCCACCTGCTCCTGGTTCATCTCGCTTTCAGATCTCTAACCACCCTGCTTTTTTTCAGAGAACATTTCCCCAACCATGCCACTCTACCCCAACAAGATGAGATCTCCCTCTTACACGCTCCAATCACCCCACGTTCCTCTAGCTCACAGAACTTAGGAAGGTAGCAACTTTAAACTGTGCAATTATTTGATTAATGGTTGTCTCCCTTACCAGACAGCAAGCTTCGAGAAGGAGGGACCCAGGTCAGTTAAAGCTCAGCAGCCTGCCACAGAGTAAGATAGACACTCAGTAACTATTCGGGTGATTAACATAACGTAATAATAAAAAAAAGAAAAACAAATGCATATATAAATTATTCACAAAGGAAACATTTAATAAAAGAAGAGCAAGAATGCAATATATCAAAATACTTGAGTAAAAGTGAAACATGTATTTAGAATCTAGAAATTTAAATAATCAACTATAATTGTGAAATGGATAATTGCGTGAAAAGAGGCTTGGTAAATGCAGATCTTTCGATTTTGTTCAAAGGCCATTCATCTGTTCACCCGCTGCCTTGTGGGCCTGCAGAAAACCTTACAATTTTTTTTGCTGTATGTTAACAGCCATAAACCATAATGGTAAGTATTAGGATTTTTTTTTATATTAGTGCTAAGAAGGAGATTCAGATGCCACTAATTAATGCACTTAGAAAGCAAATGAAACACGTCAGAAACAGAGCCTCGAGAAATAAGTGAATCAGAGAATCATTTCAGGGCACGGTGCCCAAAATTATAGGTCTAAAAAGTGACTAGGCCATTCACCCTTTTATCTCTGGAGGGCAATGTTCAAAATGTATTGCAAATATATCACCAGTCTTACAATCTGAATGAGTTCAATTTTAGTTGCATGAATACATACACAAGACAAATGTTCTCACTGCTCTGCAGCAATCATAAAGCTTCTCTTAAAAGACAGTCTGCTTTCCAATCAGTGTAAGACAAATTTGTGTATCCTTCTAGGAGGACTGTACAGTGGCTCTTTGATCTTTATTTAGCTTAAAGATTCCAAAACAATAAGCTCTCAAACATTCGTCTTGATATTTAACAAATAGAAACCAATGTTGCCCTGGATTCTAAAATGTACAAAAATACTTTTAAAAATCAAATAATAAAAATAATGCCGAGTTTTATAGTTCAACTTGGCCCAACATCTCCCTATGAACATAGTAAGAATTGTTGTTGACATTTTTAAGGAGTAAATCTGTTGTTGTTTTTTTTTTTTTAAGAGAGAGTGAGTTCACAAGTTGGGGTGAGCAGAGGTGATGGGTAAAGGGAGAGAGAGATAATCTTAAGCAGATTCCATGGACACAGGGCTTGATCTCACAACCCTGAGATCATGACCTGAGCCAAAATCAAGAATCAGATGCTTAACCCACTGAGCCATCCACGTACCCCAGGAGTAAATCCATTCTTAATCACTTATCTCAATTCCCATATTATACTTTTAATTTATTTTTTATTTTTTAAATTTTATTATGTTATGTTAATCACCATACATTACATCATTAGTTTGTGATGCAGTGTTCCATGATTCACTGTTCGCATGTAACACCCAGTGCTCCATTCACTACGTGCCCACTTTAATACCCATCACCAGGCTAATCCATCCCCCAACCCCCTCCCCTCTAGAACTCTCAGTAAAGAGACTAGACTTAGAAAAAAAGTTTTATTTGAGAAACAAAGTGAGGTGAAGCAGAGCAAAATTGTAATAAAAATTTAATTAGCATTAGCTCATTAGCATAATACTTAAACAAATGGAATAATATGTTTATAAGAAGCTGCAAGAATATGACCTGCCTTTAAAAGTTGTAGAGACAACTCATGAACATCCAAACCCCACATCTGCCTCTTTGAACACATAGAACCAGGGCTAGTGTCGTAGTCACCAGTGTCATCACACCCTTTCTGTGCACACAGTAGGATTGCATTTATTAGGATGACATAGCCATGAACTTGCTCTGGCCAATGAAATATTAGAAGTTGGGGCGCCTGGGTGGCTCAGTCGTTAAGCGTCTACCTTCAGCTCAGGTCATGATCCCAGAGTCCTGGGATCGAGCCCCGCATCGGGCTCCCTGCTCAGTGGGAAGCCTGCTTCTCCCTCTCCCACTCCCCCTGCTTGTGTTCCCTCTCTGGCTATCTCTCTCTGTCAAATAAATAAAATCTTTAAAAAAAAATGTTAGAAGTTATGGGTGTCACCTTTGAGTAGATGCTTTGATAGCTAGTGCACAATTTGCAAGGTTTCTTTGCCACTGCCACACTGACTGACTTTGCCGCAGATGGTAGAAACTCCTTCATCTTGGTCTCCAATTGTAAAGATTTTGATTAGCACCCTAGCCAATCCACTGTAGACATATGTCTTGAGTGAGAAATATGCGTTTGTTCTTCTAAGCCTTTAAAAATTGAATTTGTTTATTTCTCTACAATAACATAGCCCATCCTGAGTGATCCACACTTACAAAGTCAAGTCATCAAAAATAATTTCAAAATTTTGTATTATGTGTATATATGTTTATGTATAATCCCCATTTACTTATATTTATATATGGGCATCACAGAATAAAAGGGATCCAAGTATGCAAAAATTATAGAATGTCATCAGGTTTCAATTTATTAAAATTCCTCACTTCTACATCTTTTTCAATTTTCTGTTAAACTTTTTTTTTTAAAGGATTTTATTTGACAGGGATAGAGAGAGGGAGAGCACAAGCACAGTGAGCAGCAGGCAGAGGGAGAGGGAGAAGCAGGCTCCCCGCCGAGCAGGGAGCCTGACGCAGGGCTGGATCCTAGGACCGTGGGACCATGACCTGAGCCAAAGGCAGTCGCTTAACTGACTGAGCCACCCGGGCACCCTGCTGTTAAACTTTTTAACCTGAGAGAAGAAAACTATATATGTTTCTATAATTATCTAATAGTAAGTACATTTGTTGTACTCTTTTTCACAGGTACAGCACCATTTAATTGTTCCTGAAAATAATACCATTTGTTGTTAAAATACATTGCCTGGGAAGTAAGGGTTCATTCTCTAGTGTCACCCAGTGTAATGCTTATATTAAAATATCTAAAACAACTTTGATTTTCATGCATTATCAAAAGGAGTACATATCATCTTGAGGGATTGTACAAATGACTGCACAATTTGTTTAGCAATGCCAAACGTGAGAAATGTCATGAGTCAGTTGATGATTCAACAAAAGTCCCTGAGCACCTAGAAGCACATCTTTTGTCTGCTGCTACCGTTCCTTGAGTTAAGTAATGAATGACTCAGAGACAGAGAGAAGCTGAAGGAGAGTTTAGTTCATCCACCTACACAGGGAGAGGTAAATCTAGTTTTCTCGCTTCCAGATAAATGTCAACAATTTTTATGTCATTTAAACAAAAACAAATTTCCAAGCAGGCACTCCCTTCACTTCAGGCAATGTCCTATTTCTGCCCTCATGGCGGATCTGTAGACTCTTCATAGGAAGGTCTGTACATAAATGAGAGTACGCTATGTGACAGGAGAGCAAAAGTGAGCAGTTTCTTTGCCATGGCTGCTATTCTTCATTTACGAAGTAGAAATGCAAGGAAAGTAATCAAGCTATAGCAGTTGTCTCATCTGTAATACAGGGCTAATCACATAAGTTACTTCAAGGGATTGTGAGGTTAAAATGAACTAATCCATACAGACTGCCTGATGCCTAGTGGTTCCATAAATTATAATTGTTATTATGGTAATAATAATAATAATTTGCAAGGACACTATTGTTATCTAAATCAATAAATTATATGTGTGTAGACATTTTCTAAGTTCATTTCCATCATCCTTTTTTTTTCCAAACGCATACTTTTCCATGGAAATTTCACTCAGTCTCCAGGCTTCCATTATCAATTCTAAAAAAAGATCCTATGCCTACATACTCGACCCTGATTTCCAAACTGGTATTTCCAATTCCCTCTAGAAAATTTTCAACTGGATGTCCCATCATTTCTCCAAACTCCTTTTGTCTACATCATGGGTCATATCCCCAATCCCGGGCTGGCCTTAGACTTGGGTGAGGATGGCCCTTATCTTAGGACCTGACTTAGAGGGGTTTTCTCCTAGCCTTCTCTGACTGCATTCCTCTCCACAGAGCAGAACTTTGCAGGACCAAGAGGTGTCATCACTATACAGATCTTCCTCGACCTTCCATGGAATTATGTTCTGATAAACCCATCATAAATTGAAAATACCCTAAGTCAAAAATGCATATAATACACTTAACCTAATGAACATTATAGCTTAGTTAGCCTACTCTAAATGTTCTCAGAGCACTTACATTACCCTACAGTTGGGCAAAATCATCTATCATGAAGGCTATTTTATAATAAGGCATTGAATACTTCATGTAACTTGTTGAACACTGTAATAACAGTGAAAAACAGAAGGGTTATATGGCTAAAGAAAGGTTGTAAGTGTATCAGTGGTTTACACTTGTAAGCGTGCATGGCTGACTGGGAGCGGTGGTTCACTGTTGCTGCCCAGTATCACAAGAGAGTACCATACTGTGTATCACTAGTCCAGGAAAAAATCAAAATTCAAAACTCAAAGTATGATGTTTACTGACTATGAGTCACCTTTGTACCATCACAAAGTTGAAAGTGGAACCATCATAAGTTGGGGACCATCTGTATAGTTATATCATAATTTCCTTATTTTTTCAAAAGCAAGTAAAACTATTGACAGATTACTAGTCTAAAAGTAAGTTTCCCAATTATCTGTATAAGAATTAAACATTCAATACTCGGTCCATGACAGCTAACAAAGTCTTATATTTAATATTTCTATAAACAATGCTGGCTGATTTGCTAACTCTCTTTTCTGTCTGTGCTTTGATAATTAGCTCTCCTTCTCTCCATTTTCCACCTCAGAAAACATTTCTGACTTTAACTTCTCAACAATGGAACTGAACATTTTCTAAGCAGGGAAAAGATAAATGACCATTAATTGAACTGAGAATTAACCACCTGAAAATCAACAAAAGACTGAGTCATCATCATTTCCTGTCTTTCTACAATTTTAGATTTTATGTTCCTCTTAGTAGAAATTGTTATCTTCTGAAATCAAAAGACATGGTAGCTGTGCATAGAGTAGTGTGCCTTGGCCTCTCCAGAATTGAGGATGCCTCTTCCTGCACTTCTCAGCATCTGGAAAGCTGGAACCTTCCCTCCTGTTATCAATGAACTTGACTCCACGCAGGCAAAA